TATATATATATATTATATATATATATATATATATATATATATATATATATATATATATATATATATATATTATATATATATATTATTTATATATTTATATGCATATATATCTATATATATCTATATATATCTATATCTATCTATCTATCTATATGTATATACACACACACATACACACATACATACACACTTGTATGCATGCATCTGTATGTGTGCCCACTTTTTAATTAATTGAATTATCTTATGTGCATATATGTTCATGATGTGTGCAGCACCCTGGAAGTGCCAGAGCATTAAAACCAGTGCCAAACATTTAAGCTTAAATAACGATAAGAGGCATAGCATTAACAGTGACTAGAATTCCACTCAGAAACACATTAGATTGCCACATGCCTGCATAATGATTTATCTTGATCTCATGCGTTTCCATTCACTGTAATCATTTAATACTATAAATATCACAGAGTTCGTTTTGTGGTGATTATTAAGTATTAGTTCAGGTACATTGTTATCTCGACTTATATCCACAGTCTTAAGGCACTCATTGTTTGGACGAGTCTATCACATCTGTTCCTTTTGATCCAAGGTGTGATCTCTGCAGGAACACGACCACTAAAATAAGGCGGCAATTCCTTCGGTTTCGCGGACACGGGTGCGTCTTCAGAGCCTTAGGAGTTCCTTCTTTCTCTCCTTCCTCGAGGATCAGGAATATCTAATACCTCCATGGGTCGGATGCCATGTCAGTGTCACTGCCCATGCCAGGAGTATTGATGGCGGGATCGCCTATCCTGTACGCGTGGCTCCGTGGCGTCGACGTCGAGATTGGGGATGCCCCGTCTGCGTCCACGGTGGCCTCTTCGTAGGAGGGCGGTTGCAGGACGGAGTACAGGGGCGAGCGGAGGGCTTCGTACGGAGGAGGGTCAAGGAGCGTGCATGACAGAGGCTGGAGGCTGCAGTAGGGAGGCGGATTGTCCCTCCCGTAAACGGTACTGTTGCTCTCCGAAGGGAGGACGTCGGAGCCAGAGAGATCAATCCAAGGCAGCGACTCGGAACGGTTGTCCAGGGCCGAGGAATGGTCGTGGTCTTCGAGTCCCGGAGCGGAAGGGACAGGGCGCTCAACAGTGCTGCGGCTGACGTCGGACGAAAAGGACACAGTGTCGGAATCCTCCTGGGAGGCGACCGGAGCGACGACGGACTCGGACGACTCGTCAGCATCAGCAGGAGGATTCGCGCATTCTCTCTCGCCCCGACACCTGGCCAGCAGAGACCGAAATTTTCTGAGCGCCGCTTCGATTCTGCGACATGTCACTGCCTTGAGAAGAAAGATGACGATGATGAACGTGATTCCCCCCACACTCTGCTTGTTCCTATACCATTTCTCTTCCTCATCGGAGACTTCCTCTTCGTCGTGCGTGGTGGGTGATGGCTGAACAAGAGTGTCGTTTCTTTGTCCGCTCTCCGGCTTCTCCTCGTCGGGAGAATGGCAACTGAAAAACAAAAAAATAGACATCGAGGGTCATCTAACGATACCCAATTCCCTCTTACAAAACCCCTTCAACGAAACCCACACCCGACTACATAACAAAAACAATAAAACACACTGCATAACGCAAATCACTCTTAACTTGCAACTCACAACCATAAATCACCTCCCGAAATACAACAAAAAATCCCAAAACCTTACCTTCCGTTCCGGCAAACGAAATCCGGACGAGCGCAATCGAAGTCGTGTTTACATCCGACTTCCCCGACCCGACTCGCCACGCACCGACCGTCAAGAGTTCGCGTGTATCCTCCCCGACAGCGGCACGTGCCCTCCGACTCGCAGAACTCCTCGGGGAAGCAGTCGGCGTGGTGCTGGGGCGCGGGGAGGGGGGCACAGGGGGGGAAGGGGTAGAAGATGAGGTTTAAGATGGGGTTGAGATGAAGGAATGGGAAGGGGAGAGATGATAAAGAGCGTAAGAAGGACAAGTAGAGAAGAGTAGGAGAGAGAGAATACGGAGAGGTAGGTAGATAGATATACTGAGAAAGAGCGAGAGCGAGCGAGAGAGAGAGAGAGAGATACAAATACACACAAAGAAATGAGGCAAAAAGAGAATGAGAGAAAGGAAAATTAGTCAAAACGCGAAAAAAGAGAAAAGATAACAATGAAAATAAAAGCAGAGAAAGAAATCAAGAAGAGAGAGAAACGGAGAAAGATAAAGAAAGCAGGTCAGAGAAGGAAGTAGACAGAAAAAAATGTCACTAAGATGTCAACTCTACATCAAAGAGTGTATATGCAGTGATAAATTAACATACATGTAAACAATATCAAGAAAAAAAAAATACTCGATTAACTACACGGTTTTGCCTTCCTCCCTTGCATTACCTTCCTATCCCTCCCGAGGTCTATCATTACAGCTCCCTCCCCAAATTACGGTGTATTATCAGGAAACTCAGTGTGGATTACGCCTTTCATACCTCCCCTTCCCCTCTTTCTCCCTTCCTTCCTTCTCCCCTT